TTGTTAGGCAGCGAGAGTGGCGCGGCGTGTTTAGAAAAGGCGGAAGGCGGATCGTTATTATCATCGCCGGAGAACAAGGATTTCCCATTTCCGGAGATCTCGCGCCGCGCGCGCACTTTTCGCCTCTTCGGCCCTTTCGGCCCTTCTGGCCGCGCTGCTGCCGTTGTACCCTCGCTTGCCGCCCTTCCCGCGCTCGGCCGGATTTTGTGCCGGGGCCGCCAGGGCTGACGGGACGGCCGGGACGGGGCCGCGCGCTGAATAATAGCAAATCCTCGCAGGCCCATTTAGCGGGGGAGCTCTGCGAGCGAGGCAGCAACCTGGCCGTGCCTTCGGCGCGCTCTGCAGCCCCCGCCACGCCTTGCGCCACGCCGCCAGGCCATCTGCCCCTTTGTTTACTCGGCAGCGCGCGGTGGCGTGCATCGGAAACGATTCAACTGGCAGCCGAGCCGCCGCGCCGCGGGCCTCGCGAAGAAGAGGAAGCGGCAGGGAGGGAGGGGAAGTCGCCGCGGCCTCCGCGACCCCCAGGCCGCCCCGCCCCGCCCCGCCCCGCCCCGCCCCGCCCCGCCCCGCCCCGCCGGAGCCAGGCGCCTTCCTGAGGCCAAAGTGCCCTCCGCGCGCCGCGCCGCGCCTACACTGCAGTGTGTGGAGTGTCACCGGAAGGGGGACGGGCGGTGGAACTGCGACTCGCCACGCACTTCCGGTTTTCCCTCTGCACAAAAACAGAGCGCCGCGCGTATTATTGTATCCGGCGGGCGCGGCGGCATTACACGCGGCATGTTCAGAGGCATGCGCAGGTCGGTGTGTGTGTGTGTGTGTGTGTGTTAGAGCGTGCCCGGTCGCAGACAGGGCGAATAACGAGATAATGTGGCAAGGTACAGCTCACGCCGCGTACACACTCCCGCACGCCTACATTCACATTCACACGCACACACACACACACACAGCACGCGTGGTCGTATACAGCATAGGAATATTCATACATGTATGCTCGGGGCACTTAGACACACAGTCGTCTAGTTGCGCCGCCCCGCAGTGCTGAGCAGCAGAGTGAGCCGGGCCGCCGTCTTCGACATCTACTTACAGTGGGGCGGATCCAGAAGGAGAAGAGGGGGGGGGGGTCTGAAAGTTGCCATTAGCCACCTTAAGTAGGCATATAGTACTCTCTCCGTCTCTCTGTCTCCAGGCGCGGATACAAGGAGGGGGGGATGGGGATGGGGGACGTGGGCAAAAAGTGCGACTTGCCCCCCCCCCCAATAGGCCGCCTCTGGATCCGCCACTGTCTCCCTCCCCTCTCTCTCTCTCTCTCTCTCTTTCTCTCTCTCTCTCTCTCTCTCTCTCTCTCTCTTTCTCTCTCTCCCTCTCTCTCTCTCTCTCTCTCTCTCTCTCTCTCTCTCTCTCTCTCTCTCTCCTCTACCCGCACCCTTGCGGCCAGAGGGCTGGAGAGTTGAGGAGAGTTCCTCACGCGGCCGGCCGGGACGAGAAGTGCAGACCGGCCGGAATTATCGAGAGGCGATTAATTTTGTTTGACAGCAGGCAGTGACAGTGGTGGTGGGGAGAGAGAGAGAGAGAGAGAGAGAGAGAGAGAGAGAGAGAGAGAGAGAGAGAGAGAGAGCGAGAGAGAGACGGGAAGAGTAAGGGGAAAACGGCTGAGGGGGGGGGGGGCAACATCCTCTGCCATCCTTGCTGCTGGTGAGTTGCCGAGAGGCTTGGCGCTTCTGTCATCCGTGCGGCTGTGCCGGGCTGTGCCGGGCTGTGCCGGGCTGTGCCGGGCTGTGCGGCTGTGCCGGGCTGTGCCGGGCTGTGCCGGGCTGGAACGGGCTGCTGTTGCTGGAGCCTGGCTGCTGGAGCGGCCCGAGTGCCTCTCCGGCCGCCTCGCCGCGCACTCCAGCGGCGCGCAAACTTGTGCGTCGGGCATCGAGTGGCCTTTCGACGTGGCGGAGGGCGGCGTCACCGTCGTCGTCAGTTTCCTCGCGGACAGCACAGCACGCCATAGCGCGACACGGACTGCCTGGAAGGTAGGCAAAAAGTCGCACTTCGCCCACAGGCATCGCCACCCGCTGGACCCGTCTCTGGACCCGCCCTTCGACAACAACCCTGGGAAACAGGAAACAATCCGATATTTTTCCCCCCCTTTCCCTCCCCCGCGGGCGCGCAGCTTCGCGATGAGGGAATAAATTAAGAGGAGCAGTAGAGCAGGGCATGGTTCGTCTTTTCCGCTTAGAGTGGCGGGGCGGGGAGCTCCGGGCGCCGATTGATTCCCATCCACAATATTGGAGGATTTATTGGAAAGGTCGTGAAAATGATCAAGGAGTCGCCAGCCGGCGCCGCGCTGCTGAGATAGAAAAGGACGGGGGAGGGGGCTGAGGGGATCACCTGAATCCCCGCAGGGCCCAGGCTGGCCCGGGGCCCGGGGCAATATTAAAGGGCCGATAGGATGGCAGGGGGGAGGCAGGTTAATGAGTGGGAGAGGGACAGCAGAGAACGGCGGGGAGAGAGAGAGAGAGAGAGAGAGAGAGAGAGAGAGAGAGAGAGAGAGAGAGAGAGAGAGAGAGAGAGAGAGAGGACATGGTGTGGGGGTGGGGCAAGGTGGTTGTCCCTCTCCCTTCCCCGGCGCGGAGGACGGGTTCGATTTCCAATGTCAAGTGTTGCAAGAACAGCACAGTCGCACAGGAAGTGGGGTGCGAGAAAAACAACAAAACACAACAACAACAACAAAGCTGGCGGGAAACGAACGGCACCGCCACACCGCCGCCCCGGACATTGCGGCGACTCGTCAGTCTGGACACGTGTGACCACCCTCTCACCGCGACACGTTCCAAAAGTCTACTTTCGGGAGATTCTTTCATGCGACAGTGAAATTTTGGGCTTCAGTCCTTTAGCCCTTCACATCAGGGATTGTCGATTCAAAACGAGACTTCCAGGAAAAAAGTTTTGAAAATGTCGTACTAGAGGTTGTAAGAGGTCTTCCTTCACTGGGTGCATCGCGGCATTTCAGCTCGGATTTCGGCCTACTTATATGCAGCACCACCACACCGCTGTGGGCACGTCGGTTGGTCAAACAGCAACTTTGGAGTGAAACTCGCACGCACGCGGTACGCGCAAGTAGTCGTTGAGCCGAGGCACGCCTCCGCGCGAGGGCCCCGGTGCACAGTGGGCCAGAAACGGGTGCAGGCGGCCAAAATTCTAGACGCGTTTTGAGCTCCAGAGTCGCTAAATGAGACTCGAATCGAACGTGTGACCCCACCAATGGATTGTTCTCCGAACGAGGAATCCATTGGTGGGGTCTTACGCTCGGTTTGAGTCCCATTTAGCGTTTCTGGAGCTCAAAATGCGTCAGGAATTTTGGCCGCCTCCACCGGCTTCTGGCCCACTGTGCGGTGCCGCTATGCGCGATGCGGGCGCGGCTGGGGCTGCGGGCTACGCCGCTTGCGGTGGGTCGCCGGCTTGCTTAGGTTAATTACTGGACCAGGCGCGATCACCTTGCCAGCCCCGCCCGGCCTGCCTTGCTCCGGGACTTTGTTTGGGAGCCAACAACAATTATAATTACAACCCCTCCCCCACCCCCTTTCTGACTTGGCGCTGGAGGGACTGTGGTGGTAAAATGGCCGTCGCACCGCCGCCACTACACTACTTTGCATTCTGGCCGGGCCTATTCTCAGCCGCTGGAGCGTATTATAAAACGAACAAACAAGATGAGGCCGGTGCGGCGAAACACCTTTAGCGGCGTGATCCCTGGCCTCGGCCCCCCGGTGTGGCACGTCGTCGCCATGGCAACGCCGCGCCCGGACGCGCACCGTGCACAGTGCGCCTGAGGACCAGTGCAAGCGGCCAAAATTCCCGAGGGGGCAAAAACTCGCGCAATCATGTGTACACGGCCCCCGAAATCAAACGCGAATCATTTAGAATCACGCGAAATCAAGCAATCCGAAATCAGCCAAAATCACTAAAATCGACCGAAACTAGGCAGAATCACACGAAACCAGGCCAAATCAGTCCGAAATCATTTCTTTCCGAACACAATCACACGCAATCACGCTCAACATCACCCTGGTGCGTCGCGAAATAAGGCAAAATCAGCCATGAAATCAATTAAAACCATGCGCAATCATTGCGTTTTCCGAATCATGTGTACACGAAAATCCCGAGTTTTTGCCCCCTCGAAAATTCCAGACGCGTTTAGAGCTCCAGAGTCGCTTAACAGGACTTGTGACCCCACCAATGGATTCCTCGTTCGGAGAGCAATCCATTGATGGGGTCACACGTTCGGGTCGTGTCCCATTTAGCGACTCTGCCACTCAAAACTCGTCCGGTATTTTGGCCCACTGTGCAGGGATCCTTAACTTAACTTAACATGTAACTAACACTGCTTTCATAACGTAACATAAGACAATGTTCGCTAAAGGTTAAGGGTACGGACTTTTGCAAGTACTTCCAAAAGTATCTCCACACAAATTCGAGACACAAGAAAAATAACTTATCCTTTTGAAAAGAATTTAGAAGTTAAGGGTCATAACTTTAACTCGTACGATAACGTTATGATGCCGTTGTGAGGTAAGTTAAGGATCCCTCCCACTGTGGCGTGGCGTGCCGCGGTGGAGGCCGTGCTGGAGGCCGTGGAGGCCGTGCTGGAGGCCGTGCGGCCGCCGAAGGCCTTGCCGGAGGAGACGAGGTGGCGATGGCCCCGTGTCCTTGCCCCTGCTCCCTTAAAACTTTGTTAATCCCCGTTTATTTGCCAGTGCTGGCGGGGCCGGCGGGGCTGGCGGGGCCGGCGGCGTAGTACCCGCATTGCACCGCCGCCGCCGCGCTTTGGCCGCCCGGCCCCTCCCGGCCGCCTCTCTCTCTCTCTTCTCGGCGAGGCGAGGCTGTGAGTCCGGCGTGCGACCGGCGCGCAGAGACGGGCACGCCACTGCAAGCGAGTTGCGCAGCGCGGCGCCGCGGCGGCCTTAGCCACCTAGCCCCCCGATTTGCATAGGAATGCCGGCAGCGAGCGCGGTACTCACCTTCCAAGCTCGTGGCTCCGGGCAAGTCGGAGAAATCTGCAACAAGGAAACAAAAACAGTCAGGACTTCGCTCTCTCTCCCTCTTTCCTGGGGCGCGCTGCGTGTGTGCGAATTCACACGGCCGGTGCGGTGCGCCGCTGTCGGCGTGGACCGCGCCACCGGGCCGGGGGCAGCCGGGGGCAGGCACACATTAATAAACCAGCTTTCGTCGTGACGCGTCCAAAAGCCCTGGCTGCCCTGGCACTGCGCCGAGTGAGCCGAGCACAGTGGGCCAGAAGCCGGTGGAGGCGGCCAAAACTCTAGACGCGTTTTGAGCTCCACAGTCGCCAAATGGGTCTCGAACCGAACGTGTGACCCCACCAATGTGTTGCTCTCCGAACGAGGAATACATTGGTGGGGTCACACGTTCGGTTCGAGTCCCATTTAGCGACTCTGGAGCTCAAAACGCGTCTAGAGTGTTGGCCGCCTCCACCGGCTTCTGGCCCACTGTGCCCAGCCGAGCCGAGCCAAGTTGGCAAACAAAACTTGCGCGCGTCACGCGGCGTCACACACGGGGCTCGGCTCGGCAGCCTCGGCAGGCGCGGCTCCTTGAGTTCCACACACGCGCACCGCCGCTCTTTCCACGGCTCACCTTTCCAGAGAAGCAAGTCGCCGCACCGCGGGACAATGCGCGCCGACGAGCTGCAAGATAGGGCGCGAGTGCGCCGCCCCGCCCCGCCCCGTCCCGCCACTCGTTTACGGCCCTTGTCAACCAAACTTGAGTACGAAAACTCACCCCGCCGGTTTAGGTCCAAACGCTCCACACTGTAAAAATAATCCTCTGAAATTCACAATTGAGGCCCCGATTCTTCGTAAATTTACAAAGAACCTCCGGCAACATTTTTATTCCAGAGGTATCGTCGTCACTTCCCAGTTTTTATTTCTTACAGTGCAGTGGTGTACGAATATTCTGGACGACCGCGGTGGTTCCATTTCCTGCTACGTACCCGGCTTGCCCTGCCTCGGCTGGCCCCGCCTGACCTGGCTCGACACAGCGGGCCAGAAGCCGGTGGAGGCGGCCAAAACTCTAGACGCGTTTTGGGCTCCAGAGTTGCTAAACAGGGCTCGAACCGAACGTGTGACCCCACCAATGGATTGCTCTCCGAACGAGGAATCCATTGGTGGGGTCACACGTTCGGTTCGAGTCCCATTTAGCGACTCTGGAGCTCAAAACGCGTCTAGAGTTTTGGCCGCCTCCACCGGCTTCTGGCCCGGCTCGACTCGGCCCGCTGCTAAGATCGGAAAGGCCACTTTCCTGGAGAGCGGCTTTGGCGCAGCAAGTTCGAGGACCTGCTTAAGGACGGCGAAGGGTTTTTCTCCCTCTGTCTGCCGTTCCCCCCGCACAGATAAGACCTCCCTCATCTTCGTTTGCCCTCCACTTTGGGCCCTTCCTGGACAAGGTGCGTGTCGCGCGCTGGCGCGGGTTCGAGGCCCGCCGGGGCCCATTCTTTTCATCCGAGGCAAGCGGAGCAGCGCGTTAAGCGCCAGAGAAGAAAGTTGCCCTCACGATAACAAGGTTATTGCCGCTTTCCCTCCCGCCTTCTCTCTCTCTCTCCTCTCTCTCTCTCTCTCTCTCTCCTTTCTCTCTCTCTCTCTCTCTCTCTCAGAGCGCGGTACAGTCACGCAAAAGGCGCAAGTTGTAACTAACTTGCCGCCATTCACCCTGACTGACTGTCACTCCGTCACTCCGACTAGCTTGCTGTGTTCCAGGTACGCCGGGCGCACGGTGCCCACGCCCCTCTCGGCTCCGGCGTCTCTCTGTTCCCTGCTCCCCCAGACTGACGGGAGGGAGACACTTAGGCAGCCCCGACTGCAGAGGGGGCCGCGCCGAGTCCCGAGTGCACTCAAAGTCAAAACTGATACTCGCAACTGGGGCGACTTCGGGAGGCAGGAGCGAGAGAGGAAGCCGATACCGGAGCCGTAGCCGAGCAGTCAGCCATCTCGTCTCCGACAAGCAGTGCGAGGCCGTGCCCACTCCCTTTCCCGGTGTGTGTACACCGAGCCTGTCCGACGCCAGGCCTCCCACGCTGGAAGCAGAGTGCCTGGACGCGGCCATGTCACTCTATGACGTCATTCTGTCGTGGCGGCCGTGGTAACATCGGTCTCGCCTCGCCTCGGCCGAGACGGCATGTCCAGGCGCTGGCCGTCGCAGCGCCGGACAAGAGTAGCCTGCCGCACGCCATGATTGGCACCGTGCCGTACACTGTGCGTTGGCGTGGCATGGCGTGGCAATGGCAGTGGCGTGGCAGTGGCGTGCCAGCGCGGGGCTGCTCCGAACGCACACCACAGTTTTGCGCTGCCTCCACATCGCAGAGAGAGAGAGAGAGAGAGAGAGAGAGAGAGAGGAGAGAGAGAGAGAGAGAGAGAGAGAGAGAGAGAGAGAGAGGGGGGACTTTGAGCGGACCTGACCCTTTGCGCAGTGTGGAGTAGGGCAGGCAGGCGCTGATGGAACAAGGCGGGGCGGGGCGGGGCGGGGCGGGGCCGGGTGGGGCACGACCGCACCAAAGTGATTCTCGAGGCGCAAAATGTTATTAGCGGAAGAGCTTTGCCTCATATTATGAAGTTTAGACCGCCCCCCGCCTCCCCCTGCCCCCTCCCCGTTCGCGGCCGGGCCAGGCGGGCAGGGCCATTTCACCAAAGGACTGGGGCGCCGCCACTGGTTGTGGCTGCGATCTATGATGAGCGGCCCTTTGTCTCATCCGTCAGTCAGCGGTCGCAGCGAGGGCGTGGCGTGGCGGGGGCTGCGACCTTACCCATGCACGCCGACAAACTTTTTAAGAAAGACTAATGCGGCGCTGGGCGCTGATCCTGAAGCAGACGCTGCAAAAATGCGCGGCCCCGCCTGCGTAAAGAAGGCCGCCGTCGTCCCGCCGTGCGACGCACAGTGGGCCAGAAGACCGGTGGAGGCGGCCAAAACTCGAGACGCGTTTTGAGCTCCAGAGTCGCTAAATGGGACTCGAACCGAACGTGTGACCCCACCAATGGATTGCTCTCGAGGAATCCATTGGTGGGGTCACACGTTCGGTTCGAGGCCTGCTTAGTGACTCTAGAGCTCAAAACGCGTCTAGAGGTTTGGCCGCCTCCACCGGTCTTCTGGCCCACTGTGCGACGCCCCAGACACTGATTTCTCCGGCGCACCCCTTCCTGGGCCGCGTCCCCTCCGAGACGCGCGCGACGTGATCCGAGTCTCGAAGCGGCGGGGCGGGGCGGCCTAACGAGACGGCCACTGTATCGAGTAATAACTGTTGCCAATCTTCGCCGCGCCCCGCCGCCTAGGCCCGCCTCCCCCAGGCAATATCCCCCCGGCCGTGCGGCTCAAGCACACACTCATCCATTTGATTCCGTCGTCAACGAGTAAGTGATGGCCGTGTCTTGGCGCGCGGAGGCCGGCGGGGCCGGAGACGCCGCCGCCGTGCCGCCACCCTCCCCCTTCCCCTCGGCCGCCCCGCTCTCTGCTCTCTGCCCGCGAGCGATGGATTGTCTATTCAAATTATCAATCTCCTCCCCCGAGTTGCGTCGCCGGAGACGGGGCGGGGGCCTCGGCGGGGCCACCACTCGGGGGCACTACTGGGGGGCGCGCGGCCCTGCGCGGCCCTGTGCGGGGTGGGGCGGAGAATGCTCCACTCCTTTTAATTCCCCCGTCTCCGTGAACAAGGGTCTCGACGCGACGCCCTCCCTCGACACCGCCGGCAACCCTTGCGACCCTGGAAACCCCGGCAGCCCTGGAAAACCCCCCGGCTACCCTGGAAACAGCCCCGTCTCCGTGAACAAGGGTCTCGGCGCGACGCCCTCCCTCGACACCGCCGGCAACCCTTGCGACCCTGGAAACCCCGGCAGCCCTGGAAAACCCCCGGCTACCCTGGAAACAGCCCCGTCTCCGTGAACAAGGGTCTCGACGCGACGCCCTCCCTCGACACCGCCGGCAACCCTTGCGACCCTGGAAACCCCGGCAGCCCTGGAAAACCCCGGCTACCCTGGAAACAGCCCCGTCTCCGTGAACAAGGGTCTCGACGCGACGCCCTCCCTCGACACCGCCGGCAACCCTTGCGACCCTGGAAACCCCGGCAGCCCTGGAAAACCCCCCGGCTACCCTGGAAACAGCCGTGGTGCTGCGCGCCGCCATGCCGGGCGCCTGCGAATGCCAGTGTAGGCAACCCGTGGCGCACGCCAGCGAGCGCACTGCCTACCTCCCCGGGGCTCCGATCCAAACGGGAACCGGGGACCGTCGGGAACGATATCGAAGCGAATGACACTGCGGGTACCGAGCGCACGCTCACACCGACAACCACACGCACGGAAACACACACACACGCACGGAAACACACACACACACACACACACACACACACACACACACACACACACAGGTGGAGCTTTCCGAGAATCGAACGAGGAAAAGAAAATAGTGCGGAGGAATCCCTTCTAGACCCCGCCTTCTGATCCCTGCGGATCCAGTTGCAATCAAGGGAACAATCTCTCTCTGCATTTCTTCTACTTGAACTTGTGTCCTTCTGCGGGGCCACGCCCGCCGCCACCACCGCCACCGCCTCAGGACCGTTTCCCTTTCGAATAATAAACCTGATTGGATGGCGCAGCGACGGCGCGGGCCGGCCGTCCTTCGGCGACGATTTCAAAGAAAAACACCAGTGGGCGTGATAAGGCAATGCGTGGGCACAGTGGGGCGCGGGAAAGATTCGAATTGAAAAACAAACGGACCCGATTTTCGTCCGTTTTGAAGGTCGCGAGTGGCACGGCAGTTTTCTCCCGAGGGGTTCGGCCGGGTTCGGCAGGACGCGGCGCGGCGCGCGAGTCACTTAGGCGACGCTCATCACCGAGGCGCGCGATCGCAGCCCGCCTCCGCGCAGGCCCCGCGGGGGGCGCCCCGGCCTCCGTGCCGCGGCCCGCGGCCCCGCGGGGGTTGCCGCGGATTCAAATCACGGGGCAAGATTGCGAGGAGAAGCCGTGCCGTGTTATCCCGACCAAGCAGCGCTCTCTCT